TGGTGTCACACAGTGATACTGTCACACAAGGATGGTGTCACACAGTGATGTCACACATTGATACTGTCACACAGTGATACTGTCACACACTGTTGGTGTCACACATTGATACTGTCACACAGCCATGGTGTCACACACTGATGGTGTCACACAGTGATACTGTCACACAGTGATACTGTCACACAGTGATGTCACACAGGGATGGTGTCACACAGTGACCCCGCCTGTTCCCAGAGAGGGAGGCAGAGCCCAGGAGCCAGGCTTTGGGATGTCTCCAAGGACAATCACACAGATATTACTCCAATTATACACCACTCTGTGCCCGTCACAGCTGCAGTGCCAGCAGCTCCCAGTCCTCTCATCCTCCCTTTGCACTCTGTGACAGTGCACTGACCCCTGGGCACTGCCACCACCCCTGGGACAGCAGCACTGCCACTGGGCACTGCCACTTCCACCCAGGGGACACCAGGGATGAGTGGTCCTGTAGCACACCCATGGCCTGAGTCCCTCCACAACCCCTGGAGCCTGCCTGGCTTCCCTGGGCTGCCACTGATCAGCAGCCACAGCCCTGAGCATGCCAGGGCTCCCAAAACTCTGACTCAAAGGAATGTCCCCAGACCAGCACGGGGTGGTCACTGAGCCTACACGGAGCATCAGGAATGTGTGCCACTGCCAGGGCTGCTATCCCAGCTCTGGAGCTGCAAGGACCTGGCAGGTTGCTCTGGACTCTCACAAGCACATGGGATGTTTTTATCTCCCAGGATAAATGGGATATCCCAGCAGGAGCGTGGACCAGGAGACCTGGAAATCCCTGCTCCCAGGACAGCCATGAGGAAGGGCTCTCCTCCTCCAGGCTTGGGAGATGCCCATTCCTGATCCCTGCCAAGGAGCAGGCAGGGAGCAGTTCCCACCCCGAGATCTGCAGTTACTTAATCACAGTACCCTTATCTCGCTAAAATTACAGATTATTATTTTAAAAAAACGCTTCAGCACAGGCAGGTCATGTAGCTGCTGGTCAGGGTTTGGGGTGAGGAAGCAGTGGCTGAGACGGGCTCCCAGAGGGGTTTACCCAAGCACAAAGGCCAGGATGAGCTCGGGCAGCCTGAGGGGATGAACCAGGGCAGCGCCCAGCTCTCAGCACAGCCAGGCCAGGGGCTGTACACGGAGCCATGCATTTACCAACTGCTGGCAGCTGGCCAATCTCTGCCAGCCAGAGCTGGGAGCAGGGCCAGGATTGCGCCAGGCTCCCTGCTCCACCCGCTGTGTGTCATCTCCCCGCTCCCCAGGCGTGCAGCGCCTGGCACTGCCGTGCCCAACACAGCGGAAAAGGTGAGGCCGGGAACGCCCAGCCCGCGGGGCACCTCCCGCCTGTATTTACACGCTCTAAGGGCCATTCCTGCAAGTTCTTGCTCCCGTTCTTGGCCTGAGTGTGTTGGGAACGGGGTGGGAGGACAAAGGGATGCAGCAGGCTCCAGGCAGGCTGATCCCACCTTGGCACCGCTCCAGGTGAGTGTGAGCTTCCCAGCCGGGTCAGTTTGCTGTGCTGCTGCTGAGAGGTGCTGCTGGTGCTCTGCAGAGGCAGGGACTGCCATTCCCGGGCTCTGAGCTGCCACAGTGTCACAGGATGGCATTGTCACAGGATGGCATTGTCACAGGATGGCATTGTCACAGGACCGCAGTGCCACAGGATGGCAGTGCCACAGGATGGCAGTGCCACAGGGCCTCAGTGTCACAGGACCGCAGCTGACAGCCCCCGTGCGAAAAAGGTGACGTTCCTGTCCTGGATCTTGTACTGGTAGATCTGGACCAGGTCCTGCTCCCCCGCCTGCCGCAAGGACAATCTCTTGCTTATCTTAATCTGCAAAGGAAAAGGAATAGGAACACTGTTCCTCTGGCTGCCCATGAAGCCTCTGGCTGGCCTGCAGGGAAGGGGGGGTCACTCATAAATAATGCATCAGCAGCTGCCTGTCCCTGTGCCCTCGGTGGCAGCCCCTGATGAGGGATCACACAAGTGCCAGCACCCTCCCAGCCCTGCAGAGATCACCACAGGCCAGGCTCAGATCCACTGTTTGTGGAAACTTCCCAGGAAAGTTCTCCCTCAGCCTGGGGTGGGAGAAGCCTGCACTGTATAAACCCTGGAAAGCTTCAGAGGCGGGGAGTCCCAGGTGGCAGGACGTGCCTGAATATCCCCGCAGAGGGCGAGTGACAGCTGGGTGCTCCAGCAGATCCTGGTGCCCACGGGATTACTCCTTAACCACACTGCAGCCTGGGCTGTCTCCCACAGCCCCGGGGAGTGCTGGAGGTGACAGGGACACGTGCCACCTGTCCACGCTCTGCTGCGCCTCACCTGCCCGTGAACATCCTTGCAGAAGCCGGTGGCCAGCCCCTCTGCCCACAGGATGAGGTCGCTGTGATGACACAGGGAGTTCACAAGCAGTTCATTCTCCTCGTCTTCTGAATCCTCGTTGCTGTGAACCAGCACCACGATGTTCCCCTGGAACGGGAGCAGCAGGCAGGGATGAGCCCCTGGCTGGGCCTAATCCCTTAGGGGAAGGACAGGGGGGGTGGTGAGCTTTCACAAACATCCCATCTAAGCTCCAGCTTGGTCTGAATTCCACTGGGAAAATAACCCATGGAGAGGCTGGGCATGCCCCAGCCAGAATCCCCCCATCCTCTGGCTGATCCCCAGCATGGGCAGCAGGGGAGGGGGGGATTCTTCCCCACTCAGGTGAGACCACCCTGCAGAGCTGCCTCCAGCTCTGGGGCCCAAATCAGAGGTGCCCCTGCCCACAGCAGACGTGATCTTTAGGGTGCCTTCCAACACAGGCCATTCCATGATACATAAACACTGAAGAGCTCACTGCACATTGTGTACACACACACACATATATGAAATGTG